CGATTACATACCTGTGAGCACTTCTAAACAGAGACACAGAGACACAGAGACAGCTAGAGAGGGGAGGGATAGAGAGAGAGAAACAGAGCAAGGTTGTGAGAGGGTGGGGGGACTGGCCAGGGAGGCAGCGGGATAATCTTCTCAAAAGAGGAAAAGAAACCGTGGCTTAGTAAAGCAAAAGGTGGCTAGATTATCTATGGTTAAATGTAATTTTACTGATTATTCAGGTAGATACTGGCTACTTTCTAAACCTCCTGCTTTAGGAAGTTTTAAAAAGGTGGTAACAATGAGTTATGCCTGGGATTTCGTTTAGTGGATTGGCTCAGCTCAGTTTGTTTTGTTCAACAAGTAAAGCAACTACTCTGTGCCGGACCCTGCCAGGTGACTTGGGGTATAGAAGAAACACTGGATACAATCCCTGTCTTTGAAGAACTTATCAAGTCATTGAGTAGTCAAGATTTATAAAAATGAAACAAATGTGGGGGAAATCAGGAAAGTTCTAGGGTTTCATTGCCCCAGAGGTGTGTTTGCCACAGTGTTGGCAGCTGCACAGCTGTGCCACAGGTCTGGGTGACTCATGGAGATGCTGTCCCTGGGAGGAGCCCCAGGGGAGTTTGCTGGTTGCGCAGGGAACATCCAGACACGCAGTTGTTATCTGAGCTGCTCTGTTCGTGGGCACATGCCGGTCACAGCATTTGAATGTCCAGTTGTATGACACACGGGCTCAGAGACGCCCCGTCAGGGATCTCACACTGGGGGGCTTGTCAGCTGGCTCCCTGGCCTGGAGAAGTCAGGCAACTCAGTATTCTTGTCCCTATCTGTCGAGTGGGGCAATGCCACCCACCTGTCCCTCAGGTGGTTGTGTAAAGGGAGGGATGGAATTCGGGAGCCCTTGGTTCAAGCACTGAATATATAATGCAGTGGTGGCTTGTCATCAGCTGCAAGAACTCATTAGGCAAAAAGAAACTGGAGTCAGTGACCTTCATGTTATTGACACCTCTCAGGTGTCTGCCACTCTTTGGAATTCCTCTGTGTGCAGCGGTCTCTCTACCTTGACTCACCTGTTCTCTGCCGTCCTCTACTCCCCTAGGTCTTGCCTCACCCCCATTCTTGGCTGTTCCTCTGATCCCGTGGCTTCGGCGGTGACATGAGGTGCATTTGTATTTCTTCCACATCTAGATCTCCACCCTGTCCTCCCTCCTAAGCCCAGATCCTTGACATCACCCTGAATGTCCCGTGGGTTCATGAAGTCAGCTTTGGCTTCTGCCCCTGTGCCCCAGTTCGTGTCCACACCCTCGCGGGTGGCCTTGGACTCCTCTCGCTGGCACCTCTCTGCTGCCCGCCTGGGGCTGCCGTTGCCTCTCAGGCGCTGCTGGAATCTCATTTCCACTCACTGCTGTTGCGCTAGCTCATGCCCTCATTCACTTTCACCTCGACCACCATTTCCAAATGTTTAAAATTAATGTTCATTTGTTTAGCAACAGAACCCCACCTTTCCTATGCCTCAAAGAATCTTTCTTGTGAACCTAGCAAAGAAGACTTGAATGGACTGGCCACTCTGGTGGTGTGGGTCTGTGGGCTTCTTTCTCTCTCTGCCAGGGACACCCTGCCCATCTCTTCCTTCACTCCTGCCCGCCTCGGCCCCAGCCCCGACTCTAGGACCTCAAAGAGCGTGGCATGAAAACCGCTCTTGCCCTCGTGCAACGGTTGATTATGACAGCCTCCGAAGCCATCTCCTTGTTCCTTCTTCCTCCAGAGTCATCTCTCTAAAACCCAGACCTGACAAAACTCAACATCCCTTTGATAACTTGTCACAGTTCACACAATAAAGCCTGAACTCTAGGACTGTCTTCAGTCTGACTCCAAATTGCCTTTCTTCTTGCTGTCCCGCCATTCCCTTGCTCTGTGCACCATGTCATGCAGTCATGCAGGAATTCTTGGAACTCCCAACCCTGTGGGGGCGTGAAGCCAGCTCCTGCTTGAGCCCTTCCCTCTGCTAGGAATCCTTTGTCCTGGCCTCTCTTCCTGGTGAACAGCTCTGCATTTCTCAGGCCTGGCTAGAGGTTGTCGCCTCCATGAAACCTTCATTGACCCCCTTTCTCACCACCATGGTTTATCACTTCTTCCTCTCTGCTCTGACTACATTCTGTGTAGACTTTTTAAAAATTGCATTTACGTCATTGCACTATAGTTATGTTAAGACTATATATGTCAGAAACATAACGTCCTATTTACTGTCACATCCCCAAAGCACCCAGCCCCAGTACCCAGTATATAGCAGGCATCCTTTCCATGTTTCTTGAATAAACAACTGAATAAATGAATGAATAAATTTGACATACTTATAAAGCCCGAGTAGGCAGGGCACCAAGGCATCATTTGCCTCCCTTGCACTGGGCCCTGTGCTGATTGAGGTAGCCGGCCTCCTGCCAATCTGGGTTCCAACATCCTGTCCCCACCTCTTGCCCTAGTTTTCCTAAGTGAGTTGTCTTTCCCAAGTCTGAGACCTTGATTGGCAGCTGGGCCCGTACCATGTCACTCTAGCAATGTAGCCCCTCCCTTGCTGGGTAGGTTCCTGTAACTGTACCTAAATCTGGTGATTGATACTTTGCTGTGACATTTTCTTAGTGCCAACTTCTGAGTATCTCATGTTCGTTTGTACCTTCAGCCCACCTGTCAGTTACTCTTATCCCTGCTTCCCGGGTGCCCTCTGCTTATCTGGGTGACTTCCTGTCCTCATGTACCATTCGCTCGTGTCACACCTGCGTTGTTCACCAGCCCAAGACCAGGGGCATTCTAGCTGTGCTGCAGAGAATGGCATTATTCTCTGTCCAGGTGAATAAGCCAGAGAGCTCGGAGTGATCTTCTACTCCTACCACCACGCGCTACTTGCTCCCTCCCTCTGCCCCCGGGAGTTCATCTCCAAATCCCCTTAATTCTACCTTACATAGTCCTGAACAGCGCACTTTTCTTCAGCTCCACACCATCATTCTAATACTTATACCGTTGTTTCTCACCCATTACCTCAATTGCATCTTGATGAATCTCCCAAATCAGTTCCTGACCCCTCTAAAACATCCTCCGTACTTTAGCCAGATGTAATGCTTTTAAAGATGTAATGTTGTTCATGTCCCATTACAGTGTTGCTTAAACCCCTCCCAAGTCTTGCCTTGCTTTTAGGAACAAAGACCATAATAGAGGAGTGTTAGGAAACATGCCTGCAAAGCCCTGTGTCTAGCTCCAGCTACCTCCCAGTTTTCCTTTCATTCTCTGGCCAATGCCCCCTTCTTCTAATGCCTACACCCTGTTTCCTTCCACCCCGGCCTCTGAACATTCTGTTTCCTTTGCCCGCAACTCCATTCTAGTCTTTAAATGTAAAGCTCAAGCATCCCTTCTTCATGACGCCTACCTGATGCCCAACTCCACTGGGATTTTCTTTTCCTTTTTCTTTTTTATTGCTTAGATAGAAAATTATTTTCTCAACATAGAAACAGAGGAAAACATCACAGATTAAATTTAAGATCAATTTATAAGGAACAAATTTAACAGTTGAAGATTAGCATCCTTAATGCAAAAAGAAATCTTAAAAATGAATTAGAAAAATCTAAGCAGAAATTTGGTGAAGGACATGAGCAGATAAGTCACACACCTCAAAGAAACACTCATGTCTGATAAGTACATTCTAAGATGTTGTTGCAGGGTAGGGGGTGGGGCTGGCCCTGGTCTCCTGTTTCAGGACCCTGGGCATCTGGCTCCTTTGCTTGCCTCTCCACTGTGATTTTCTGCATATGCTTTCATGGCTCCCTAAACTCCTCCTTTATAGCGCTAATCACAGTTTTTAGTCATATGATCAGGTGATCATTCATTAATGTGTTTCCCGTACTATAGTGAGTCCAAGGACAGGGACTGTGTCTGTTCACAGTTTTACTGAGCCCTGTGATTAAGGTGTAGTCTGTGCTTCATGCATATTATTACATGAAGTGAGTAACCCCAGCAGGACCCTACCTGTTCTGTCCCATACAAGCTAAATGGGGCTGTGTACAGGCATGTCCTAGACGTGATGCTGTGTCACTAATCTCTGTAAACCCAAACACGGGTACCACCTTGAAAAGGTTAAATCATAAAGCAGATGTACAAAATGGGGCTACAGAAATTCTCATTCCACATCTCACATTATTATGGAAAGCATATGGACATGCATATTTATTAATTAATTTTCTTGGTGTTAAGAATTTGATAGATATTATATATCATTGAACTTTTAAGTGTATGTGCTTCCTTAAACTCAGAGCCGGTGAAAAGTTCATCTCTTCTTGTTGTTTTCTTCTTCTTTTTTTTTTTTTTTTTCCTTTTTGTCTTTTTTTAGTGACCGGTAACGGGATCGCAACCCTCAGTGTTGCGCCCCTACCGCGACCGGCAACGGGATCACAACCCTCGGTGTCGCGCCCGCACCTCACTCAACCAGTGAGCGGACCGGTCTCTATATGGTATCCGAACCCTCGGCGGGAGCGCCACCGCGTTCTCAAGCCCTGCACTCTACCTAGTGCGCCACCGGGCCGGCCCTGTTTTCTTCTTTTAATCACACTTCCCAAGCCCTGCACTCTACCTAGTGCGCCACCGGGCCGGCCCTGTTTTCTTCTTTTAATCACACAAGAATTCTATTCCCCATTGGATTTCCTTTTTTGTCTTAGCTGCTGGAGTACCCAGTGCTGAATTTCATGTTTAACTGTAGTAATTACCTCTGCCAAGGTATGTGGTTACATCTGTCTTCTGCTCTTTTTAAAGCGACTTATTTATTTTTTTGTTTTTATTGTTCTATTGTGGTATGCCTAATTATTAAAGAATTCAGACCTTTTTGTTTATAAATATATATTTATATATTACATTAGGTATTATATAATATATATTTAAAATTTATATTGTATGTTGCATAGATAAGATATATAATATGTTATATGTATATTACAAACCCTTATCCTCCCTTTTTTTTAATATCACAGTGGTAACAATCTGTATTCCTCATTTGGAGCAACTCTGGCGAGGGATGATGAAAAAAATTTGTGGAATATACCTCACGATGTGTCCCACACAGAGGCAGATGACGACAGAATCCTGTACAATTTGATAGTCGTTCGTAATCAGCAGGCCAGAGACTCAGAGGTAAGTACCTTCTGACATCTTGCTGTGTGCAGGTGATGCTGTGTAGTACAAAATAGCAATCGCTGAGAAGACCAGTTTGAAATAATGAAAAGGATGAAGGATGAGATATTTGAAATGAAGGGCAGGTATTTTAGCAGCATATATTATCACTAGTTGCTAATTATAGCTACTCTTGATAGACCTGCTTGATAAATAGATATGACTTATTTCTAATTATTACCTTAATGAGACAAATTACCTGCAAGGCACTGCTGTTCAAGAGCCTGAAGATAGTTTAATGTCTTAAATGGCTTAAACAGCCCTTCCTAATCTTTCCACAGTTTCAGCGAGCCATGGTTAGATGATTCAGACTGAAGTTTGAAGGGTGCTTCGCATTATCGCTAATTCTGAATAAGTGCGGCCCAAATTGGTTTTTTGTTTGTTTGCTTGTTTTCTATTTAGAGCTTCTTAAACTGTGCATATTAATCAGACAGCAGGGGATCTGCCATATCTGGGATGATTTTTGCAGTAAGGCTTGAAACCACTCCTAATGACTCTAAATCCAAAGTTACTTATATGGGAATGTTAGAGTACTAAAAAGGGGAGGACTCTATAAGTTAAGAGAAAACAGCAAAGTGGATCATGTTTTTTCTTCTTTCTTTCAAACGCAGTGTTACAGTACTATATAGAATACTGTATGACATCATTTTCTGACTAATGCAACTTAGGTTTTCTGACTTCTGTGTTCATCGGTTAGGTCTGAGTAGACACCTGTATTAAACATACACTACCCGTTTCTTCGTATCTTGAACAGGGAGAATTAGAACCCCAGGCTCTGGCTCTGTAGAAAAGCACCATGTAGTGAGCATGTAGTGGGGAGGAGGATGTTGTGAGTCATCTGTTCCTTATCTAGTTTTCTTTATTTTTGCTAATTTTTTTGCTATTTTTTCCCCAGAAAACATATTTCAGAAGGAGAGATAACTTTTAGAAGTGCTATGTATCCTGGTCCTTTTATTCTGGTGGGATTTGGATGCCTTTGGGGGGTGAGAGGTGGGGATCACAGGGTGGGGGAAAGCCAAAAGTTGCCTCTGGTTCTTGAGGCCTGTGGAATGGTGGGCTGGAGAGTCCTGCAGTGGCTGTCACTGTGTAGCATCCCACTGGTGCCCTAGCATCATGCAATCTCTGGCTTCCCATGTCCCCAGCAAAATCCCCTCTTTGACTGGTAACACTGAAAACCTCTCTTGGAGCCTGCTGCTGCCAAGAAAAGCCTGCCCTGGCTGCCCTTCCTGAGCATATGAATGGGAACCCATGGCCTTGTTTTCCCTTTGATGGGAAGAGCAGTCCTTACACTACTGTATGGGGTTGACCAGTTAGGGTTTCTGCTAGTAAGAATAGAACCAGTTCTTTTTTCCTCCTCATCTTCCCTGATCCTGCCCAAAACAATGACAAAAAAAAAAAAGATAATGCAGGCAACATGAGCTAAAAAACGATCTTGTCCTCTCAATAAGCTCAGCTTCCACATTGGCCCATTTCTCTTTCTGTGCTGGTCCAAATTCAAATTTTCGTATGAAATGGTCAGATCTTAAAATGATACCACATATTAAAAAATGTTTCACCTAAACAAAGTGTGTTTATGGAGTACTGATATATAAGGATGTTTATAGTGAGACTTGTACTACTTATTATTATTGTTATTTTGTTCAGTATGATTGAATAATGAACTTGCCATTGGTTTAGAAGATGAAGGCAGGAAGTCGATGGGGGATGTTTTAAGTCTGAGCAAGTTCTATATCTGTTACTATTGCTTATTTTCTTTTCCACACGGGATAAAAGTGGTACAAATTTTAGTAAAACAAAGGATTTGGGTTTTAAAAGAAAATCAAATTCCACCTACTGAGGAGCAAGGAACCCTAGATATTTTTACATGATACAATTTTAGAAGCTCAAGCATGTTATAAGGAAAACAGAACAGAATGTTTTTCCTTGAGTAGCAATAGCATGAAAGACCTCAAAATGTTCATATTTGGAATTCTCTAGATAGTGAAAAATAATTTCAAGACAGCTTGGGTACTACCTACATTCCCTTATGAATTCTGAAGCTGGTAGAGGAAGAACTACAAATAGTTAAGGCTAAATTTGCACTGTGAAAATTGAGAAAAAGTCAGAAAAGAAGATATATAGATCAAACAATGAAGTAAAGATGTGAAATTAAAGTAATTTGAAGTGTCAAAAAAATATAAAAAGTAACATTGTTTAAATCTTGTACACAGAATCTACTTTCATGTACAGAAGCTTTCAAGGGCTGATGGAAAACACTCAGCAGAAGACATGATGCATTTGCAGGCCTCCAAGTAGTGGAAAAATTATTGCTCTTGTCTTTGAATGATGACATAAAGTACTTTGCATTTGAGGAGGAAATAGTAAACAACCTCAAAATCCTGTCACTAAATCATCATCCTTATGTCCATTCTCGTTAAACTAGTTGTACTTTACATAATACACTCTGTTCTAGGGAGCTTAATGATTGTTGATGAAATATGGATGCACCTTATTTATTTGTTTATATAAGTAATTGTAATCCTACTGAACGATCTTGTCCTCTAGGATATTAATGATAATGAAAACGGTGCCAGACTCTGTTCTAACCACTTTGCATTTGTTAACTGTGTTCTTTTAAACAACAACTCAGTGAGATAGGTTCCATTATTATTTCCATTTTAAGCAGCTTATCCAAGGTTACACAGCTGTTGACTTTGGAGCCAGGATTTGAATCTGGGCTTTATGAATCCAAAGACAATATATATTGAGTATCATGACTGAAATCATCAGGGAGGAACAGATAATGTCAGTGATTAAATATAGATTTAAAGATGCATGAGCAAAGTCTGTCCAAAGCCTGTCTCTGTGCCTTGCTGATGCCACTGAGTATGAAAGGCGTTTTCACATTGGTGGTTGAGAGCTATGTTTGGTTTGAGGATGGTGACCACGTTTCAGGAAGTGTTCCCGGACACAACACTCATTTCCCAGGTCATGCTTTTCCTTGGTGGTTGCAGTTAGTTAAGACTCGTTCCCCAGGCTTCTGTTGCATTAGCTCCAAAATGTTTCATTCTGTTCCTTTCTTCACTTTGTTTACTGTTCTCTGGACTATGTTATTTGGTGCCCCTTCTGATGGTTTGGTAACTGTTCCTTTAGGAGTTTATACATAGCTTCCACATTTTTATTATGCTAAAAAATCCTTTTATACTTTCGATTAAGAAAATATATGCTAAATATCAGATCATTCTCATAAACACTCTTAAGCACTGTTTTGGTTCAAAAATACGTGCTGTTTCTTTGGCATAATGGGTGATAGCAATTCTATGCTCCTTTCTAAAGCTATTAAGTAGTTATGTGCTCAAAAACGTATGTAGTTCTCATGACAAGTACCTGCCTACTTGTCACCGAGTGAGGCAATATTTACACATCGGCAGGGTCCACGAGATCACCAGAAGCTTGCATGGCTGAGCGATCCCATGAAAACCACACTCTGCTGAACCCCCGGGAACAGCTAAATACTATTTTTTTTTTTTTTGTCTTTTGTCTTTTTCCGTGTCCGGCAACGGATCGCAACCCTCAGTGTTGCCCCCGTACCGGACCGGGGACCGGCAACGGGACCGCAACCCTCAGTGCCGCTCCCGCGCCTCGCTCAGCCAGTGAGCGGGAACTGGTCTGTATGTGGGATCCGAACCCTCGGGCGGGAGCGCCGCCGCGCCTCCCAAGCGGCGCACTTATCCAGTGCGCCACCAGGCCGGCCCTAAATACTATTTTTTAAAACTACAGAGGCAAAAACATAACATATTCCTGGTTCACCGTTTATTAGGCTCTTCCTGTACATCAGGACTACCTGCTGCCAGAGTGATGCCAGGCAGCATAAACAGTTCCTGTAAAAGTTTAAAGTAGCAACAGACATTCCCAGGGGCTGTTTCCACTGTCTGGATTACATACCTAGTCTGTCATATCCCTGATACCACAAGAAGCTACACAGCAGAGTTGACTGGACTGTTCGGTGGGAGAATGTGAGAAAGGCGGAGAAAGGGTTGAACTGATCATGTACCAGCCATGAAAATCTTAAGCACTCCGAGGCCCAGATATTCCAGGTCAGCCCTGTGTTACTCTGTCTCTACAGGCCTCTGGGAATTGTACAGGACCCACGCTTTTGGGGCTGTCTGATCTCTCTACTCATGGGTGAGCATTAGCTACTGAGCAGTCATGGAGGAGCAAAATACCAGTGGAAAATTAAATTCTCAAGATAATTCTGGGTTTCTCCAGAGGCCTCTTTCTTTGGGGTCCAGATTATCTGGATTATTGAATGCACCCATTCTTTATTTTACTTTGCTGGTGACTATTTGGGTTTAGAGGATTTGGGGGGGTGGGAGGAATAAAAAAGCTATTTAGAATCTGAGAATCAAGGGATCTTGCCCTCTGTTTTCTAGGTAATGATATTTATTAACTGTTATGCTGTGTGCTAAGCAGCATGCTACATGCTATTTGGACAAATGCAAATCCTCACAGGAACCCTATGAAGGAGATATTTTGACATATACAATTAGAGACTTTCAATCATCTGTACAAGGTACTGGAAGAAATGAGTGGGAGAATTGGGATTTAGAGCAGAGAGCTAAATAATTTTGTTTGTCCTTTATTTTAAATATGAACAGGAGCAACCAGGAGGCAAATGAAGCCCAAAGGCATAGAACTTTATAGGAAAAAAGTATAAGATACTGCCCAACTTATTTCCCTCTTAAGAAAATTCTGGGGCCGGCCTGGTGGCGCACTGCTACAGTGCGCCGCTTGGGAGTGCAGCGGCGCTCCCGNGGCGGGAGCGCCACCGCGTTCCCAAGCCCTGCACTCTACCTAGTGCGCCACCGGGCCGGCCCTGTTTTCTTCTTTTAATCACACAAGAATTCTATTCCCCATTGGATTTCCTTTTTTGTCTTAGCTGCTGGAGTACCCAGTGCTGAATTTCATGTTTAACTGTAGTA